GTGGATCGCCCCTCCAAACGACCCGTTTGTGTTAAAGCATTTGTGAGGTGGGGCGCCGTCCTATCTGGCCTTTACAATGTTGCGGTATAGAATGTGATAAACTACACTCGATTGTTCACCTGTGTACAGCCATTACTTCATCTTGCTGGTTCTGCCATACATGGCATCCTTCGATATTTTATCACTATTCATGTCCACCCCGCCAGGCTTGGCGCGTGACGTGTTACAGAAACGGCCCGAAGAGAAATACGCCGAGACGTCGAGGCCCATAAAAATCCAAGAAACTAATGTCATTCTTCGCAATCCGCCGGCGAACCTGTTCCATCTTCAACGGTAGAATATGCGAGCAAATCAAAGGAACGGTAAGGATAAATTATATGTCCGGAGTAAGGTTACTATCAACTACTGCTGATACTTGTTGATATCACATTATTTTCGGAGTAAAAGCACTTCGCTGTTCCTCACTTTGCTCTTTTAAGCCTTAACAGGGAAACCCGTTAGTCAGAGAATAGATGCGACCGTTTTCTCTCGCTCTTCCGACTCTGGTCGCACCTTCTGTGTTTGCGACACTGCGACTCACAGACGTTTCCTGATGGACAGTGGAGCCCAAATCAGCGTTATTCCCACAACCGCAGATGATCATCGTATCCCTAGCCCTGGTCGTCACTTCAAAGCAGTCAGCTGTTCCCCTTTTCCTACTGTTGGTACTCGGTCCCTTAACTTGAACATTGGCCTTCGTCGGTCATTCAGTTGGATGCTTGTCATAGCTGATGTCCGTCATGCAATCCTCGGCTCGGACTTTCTTGCCGAGTTCGATCTCCCTATTGACTGCCGACGTGCCCGTCTCCTCGACCGCACAACCTGTCTGTTTGTTCGTGGACTGACTCCCTTTACTGCTCCCATCAACCTATCTGTCTTGGATACGGATACTGCTATTCCTTTTCGGCAATTGCTTCTTAGTCACTCCAAAATAATTAAACCCCATTTCCGCAGTGGTGAGGTCCAAAATGATATTGTGCATCGTATTCGCACCTCGGCTCCTCCTGTGTTTACTCAGCCGAGACGACTAGCACCGGAGCGTTTGCAGGCAGCGAAAGCGGAGTTTGAACACATGCTGCAACTGGGAATAATTCGACCGTCCGAGAGCAATTGGGCGTCCCCACTGCACATGGTGCCCAAGGCAACATCAGGCGACTGGCGACCCTGTGGCGACTATTGAGCCCTCAACAGCGCTACCATTCCTGATCGCTACACCGTGCCTCATCTTCAGGACTTTGCTGGAGCCCTTTTCGGCAAAGCGGTTTTCTCAAAGATTGATCTGTTGCGCGATTTTCATCAGATTCCAGTCGCCCCTGGGGACATCCCTAAAACAGCCGTCACCACACCCTTCGGTCTCTTTGAGTTCATCCGCATGCCGATCGGTCTACGTAATGTCGTCCAAACGTTCCATAGGTTCCACGACCATGTCATACGTGGCCTACCATTTGTGTTTGCCTGCATTGATGACCTTGTTGTGGCCAGCCGGGATGAAGAAGAACACAAAGAGCATCTTGTTCTGGTGTTTGACCGTCTTGACAAGTTTGGCGTTGTCATCAACTCCTCTAAGTGCGTGTTGGGTGTGCCTTCACTCGAGTTCCTCGGCCATCAAGTCGACTCTGAATGTTTGCGTCCCCTCCCCTCCAAGGTGGAAGCAGTTCGTAATTTTCCTCCTCCAACTTCCAAGTGTCAGTTACAGCGATTACTCGGCATGGTCAATTTTTACCCCCGGTTCCTACCGAACTGTGCTGATCTCATGTTGCCGCTCACCAACATGCTTTCTGGTTCCAAAGGTCCCCTCGAGCTGACAGTTGAAGCACTGACTGCTTTTGAGAGAATCGAGAATTTCCTTGCTGATAACGCCTTACTCACGCATCCCGCTCCCGAATCTCAGTTGTCTCTGATGGTAGATGCTTCGACCGTAGCTGTAGGTGCAGTCCTTCAACAACTCCTTGCTGGTCCTACTCGACCAGTTGCCTTTTTCTCCAAAAAGCTCCTACCAGCCGAGACACGCTACAGTGCATTTGGCCGTGAACTACTTGCCATTTATCTGGCTGTGAAGCATTTACGGCATTTTCTTGAAAGTCGGGACTTCGCTGTTTTCACAGACAATAAACCGTTTACTTTCACACTTCGTTCCCACTCCGACAAGTACAATCCGAGAGAAATCGCCCACCTGGACTACATCGCTCAATTCACCACCGACATCCGCCACATTGATGGCACGAAGAATGAGGTGGCTGATATGCTGTCTTACCTCCAACTCTTACACGGGATGGAGATTTGCGCCATGGCGAATGAGCAACAGCGAGTCGGTTGTCCTGATGACGAGTCTGTTAGTGGTCTCCAATTCAAAGACGTTCCACTGACCACCGGCTCTGGTACCATACTTTGTGACGTCTCACCTCCCTTTCATCGCCCTTTCGTGCCCGTCTCGATGCGTTGAGCTGCATGTCAAACCTTGCGTGGACTCTCCCACCCTGGGATCCGAGCCTCTTAAAAGCTCCTCGCGCAATGGATTGTCTGGCCTGGCATAAATAAGGACGTCAAAGCTTGCGCCAGGTCCTATCTCAGTTGACAGCGCAACAAAGTGCGGCGTCGCAACAAGTCCCCACCAGGCTCTTTCCCCAGTCCCGACGCACGGTTCAGCCATGTGCACATGGATTTCGTAGGCCCCTTGCCTCCATCCGATTGTTTCACCCACCTCCTTACCTGTGTCGATCGACATATCCGCTGGGCTGAAGCTATTACTTTGCCGAATACGCAGGCTGGTACCATCGTGAAGGCCTTCGTTAGTTGTTGGATCGCCATGTTCGGTGTCCCATCCACGGTTACGACTAATCGTGTTGCCCAAATTAGGTCGGCACTCTTCCAAACACTACTCAATCTCCTTAGCTGCACACGCATTCGGACGACAGCCTACCACCCAGCTGCCAAAGATATGGTTGAAAGTTGTCATCAACAGCTAAAGACTGCCCTACGTGCCGCAGAAGACTTTAAAAACTCGTTGAGTGTCGTTGGTTCCATCCAAGTTAAATAGCTGGGTATATTTCGTATCACGTAACAAGCCTCACGAATTAATTCAGTAGATCTCCGGATTGAGGTCGTAAAAATTTGCGGCAATCTCATCGAGAAAATGACCAAGTCGTCTTTCGACAGAAGTGTCGGACTGGAAAAAAGGCTAAAATTCTGAGTCAAATAACGTGTCAAGGTGGCTAAGTTACTCAACTGAGTATTTGATTTAAACCTCTGGAAACGGCGTCGGTCGATTTTCCATAAATTTTGTTGAAGCGATTGAGTAAGATGACGAAAAATCGACCTGTTATTTTATTACAACAGGCGTGTCGACACAGCTATCAAACTCAATCGGGTTTAGGCAAAATAACGCATAAAAATATATTCCACTCCCTTATTCAACCGATCTAGACTCTTGTGATTTCTTCTTATTACCAAGGAGCAACAAATAATAAACAAAATATGTTTACAAAACTCATTAAAACTGACTGCACTTCCTTAACAGCATTATTTCCAAACATAAAACAGTAATCTGAACAGGCGAACAACAGTTGGGATAAGTACATACAATGTAATGGACAGTAAAACTGAAGGCGTTTCATGTTTTAAGTTGTTGTTTTAAACAACAAAATTGAAAAATGATAGAAGAGTCCATTTGACAAACAGGTGTTTTTGGTAACTCATTATCAGGCCAACAGAGTTACTTCGATAATAAAAATATAAGAATTGTGCAGGGTTTATAAGTGACCTAGAAGTTATTAACACTCATAGTTCCCACGCTACCGGCGTGACGCGTTTCGCGTGGAATGCTATATAGGTATGTGAGGGTGATATGATGTGAGTGATGATTCTAAGTCGGTGCGTGGACTGCGCATTACTGTCGCCAAGTGGTTAGGACGGCGGTTGAAATCCCAGTGGCGTTATAACATGCAGGCATAACAAGCTCTCTCCTTCTATGATTTAGCTAAAAGAATCGATTACCGTTGCATGCAACGCCGATATGTATTTGCACATTCACTTGCTCCTGTGGAAGGGGACACATTGGCCACAAAAAACAGACGCCCGGAAAAGACAATATGTGAATCCATATCGACTGCGCCAGTCAGAGATGAGAACAGATCTAGTTTGCGTTCGATACTTCTGCATCTTGTCGATACGAATAACCGGGTCAGTGCCAAGGAAGTCCTTAAAGTTGTCTACCACACACCAGCATGCTTCGTCAGCGGCCCTCGCAAACGGCTGCGGGCTTCATCCCAGGCAGTGGCTGTGAGGCTAGCGAACGCAGTTCTGTGTTATCAGAAGACTTTGACACAGGCGTCCTATCTTCCATGGACGACGCCGACCCTATATGGTTATCACACGTCGCTCCAACCCCCTGTTGACTGTACTGTGTACTCTACGAACCCGACGTACACATCCTACGCCACTATCCTCACGCAATAACCGCAACCAGAGGAATTCGTCATGCGGTTCATGACTCACTTTCGAATCCTGTATCACATAAGTCTGGCATATTTAGAGACGCCGATATCATGGCCCTGCTAGTGACCATTGACATTGAATCCTTATAGTCAGTGTCGTATTTAGGTGTCGTTGGTTGATTGTTAGTATAAAAATAGGGGTGAATCAGTCAATTGCAGTGTTTTTTATCTTTTGGCAATCTACTTCCTGATCATCCAAATCACACATCGCACTTGGAGCGCGTTTCCAGTCCAGAAGCAGGGTCAAGCGTCGTGGTTGAGAGAACTCCCATGTGGAAAATCGGGCGTGAATTCAGGTGCAAACAGAACAAACAGCTTCATCTGTCAGATTTCTCGGAATTCACGACCTCTTACTTTGCATCACATCAATTGCCTCACCTTCCCCGTCTGGTAGTGAGATGTTAAAGCCGTCACGTTGGAGGAACCCACCTTCGCTGCTCCGAGGCAACCTCACGAATAAGACCAAAGCCATGCGGAATTGAGGTTTGCGCTGGTTTTTCTTATCAAAAGCCCTGCGTAGACAGAGGACTTCACAATCGCCATAGCATCCAGATTCCTTTCAACTGATTGTTCAGGCACGCAGACAGTGGAGCTGATATTCCGGAATCTGATTGCCCGATTGAAAATAGGAGCCTGCAATTGGAATGTGGACAAGTGAATATGGTAGGCAATACAATGAACATGCGTTAATACTTTTCTGTTTATATGTTAATTGAACTGGAAATGGTCGAACCGAACACATTTCGACTTAATTTTTTCATACCACATATGACGACAAGCCCATTTACCGATGTCTCTGAGGAATATTTTTCACCCAGTCATAGTCCGCATGTTGGAAAATACTTGTTAAGACGTTTGCGTTTGTAATAAATGAGAAACATTGGATTGACTATAGATTTATAAAACTGGATAAGGTGTGATGCATTTCATGAAGCAACATTGCCTTTTTAAAACGTCCTAGTTTTGACCATAGTCATTGGATTCAAAAGCAAGGTGAGATCTGACATTGGAAAACATCGTGAACGCGTTAAACGATGCATTCGGTACGCGAATTATTGCCCTGTTTGCTGTCATTCATACCTGTTTCCATGTCCAGTAATTGAATCGGCTCATGAGCCCGTAGTGTTTTACCGAAATTAATAGTTTATCCCAGCTGTAAGCGTATCTGATGACTCCGGTCCTTAAAGTCGATCCACCTGTTATTGCCAGCTTTCCTCGGTCATGGTATGATGTCAGAACCGGTCAGACAGTGAGAGTCACATTTCGCTTGTGAGGCATCACCAATCAAATTGAAACGTGGAATAATTCTATAAATGTCTTTGAATTATCTGTAAACATAAATATGCATGTGTCAACAAATGGTCATGTGTAGATACATGAACTGTTTTGTTTACGTATTTTAGGGCACGTAGGACGGACGAACGTTCCGAGATTTGAGCTCGTTGCCTTTTTGTATCCGAATCCTGAGGTTTGTGATTATGAACACAAATTAATAATTATTGTGATGCATTCAAATATGAGCCCACGCTCATCGCCTAAGGCATGGCATATAGGCCTTACCACCTAATGATTGCAATAAGTGACAAGCTGCAAAATAGTCTGGCAGTTTTCATGTCCTCGGTTGGTGTCAGTATATCGGAATGTTCGACTTTATTCGTTTTCATGTCGAGGAGATTACTTAAGTATGATCCATTTTCTTAAATACCTTATTGCTTAGTTGCAAGCCTGTTTGGTCTTCTCAGAGTGCAGGCTTTTAAACCAACTACTTTCTGCCCATCTGCCAAATCTCTAACTCGCAAAAATGACTAATCAGTAGTATAACATCCACTAAGTAAAAATTTCTTATCAAAAACGTATTTCGAATTCTGGTTAACATTTCATGAGAATGATAACTGATTGTACTCGATGCAACTGCGCAATATAAATATCAGTGTAGAACATAGTGTGCTGTATGGCATGGTACGAAATATCAATTATTTCTTTACCATATTAGGAGGAGACAATGTAATGGTTTGCAAAATTTAGCCATGGATTAGATCTATACTGTAAACATCAAATAACCATTAAAAAATACGATGCTTTTTGAACTTGCCATCCACATTTGCAAAACATCTTGCTATTATAAACATTTTTTCGAAAACAGTCTGTGAAGTGTGAAATTTAGAGGTCTTAATTTTCTACCAAATGAGTAAACGAAAAATTATTCTTGTTAATTGTTTTTGAGAAAAAATCTTTGTGTGTAGAATTGCATCGTTAATCAACCGAACATATTCATGCAACATGCCTGAGCAATTTGTGCATATTGTACTTTTTGCGAGCAGCTGGAAAGGCGTAACTCAAAAGAAGACATCCTGAACTAACTGGAGTGTCTTAGTATTCTGGTGCGCGGAGATTAATATCCTAGTCCTACTAAATTAATTTTCCCAAGTCCAAAACGCATTTAAGAATTTGGCTGAGATTTCATAGATTAAGGATGCTAAGAGTATATTTAGGATTCGATTTTGAATTGAGGAGAGCAAGCGGATTCGAAGTTTTTAAATGCGGATCCTACGTCGTGTTAGAGTGCAGACTTTTTAACAAACTTCTTTCTGGTCGGCTGCAAAAAGTGCATCTCGCAAAAATGAATTTTCAGTAGCATAAGGTGCACTAAGTAGACCTTCGTTATCGAAATAGAATTTCGGAATTTTGGTAAACTTTTAATGGGAATGATTAATGAATGTATTCAATGTGCGTTTGCAAGATAAATATTGGCGTAGAACATAATCTACTGTAATGCAATTCACGACAAATCCTTCATTCCTCTACGGTATTTGGACGATACCATCAAGTGATTAGCACATTTTAGAAATGGATTCGATCCAAGCTATAAATATTACAAATTGCAATGATATAACACTGTGTTTTATGACCGAGCAGTTCACGTTTTTAAAAACTCACCTGATTAAAATCT